ATAGGTATTTTTTCAAATGGTATTAGACTTTAAATCCTATTATAATCTGTATATAATATACTTTATATTGATTATAAAGAGTATACTTTTTTTTTAAACAGATTCATTTTTAACTATTAAATTTATATATAAATATCCCTATTACCCCTTAAAACCTCTGTAAAGTATATTTAAGTATAATATTATAGGTGATGGTGACAGCAGTGTAACAAAGCGACTCAATGATATTTTACCTTATGGTCCACATTTTTTCATTAAAAAAATTGAATGTCGTAATCATCTTTTAAGGAATTATTGCAGTAAAATATCCATGCTTGCTAAAAAAACCAAATACCCATTACGAGTGAGAAAGTTTATTTTGACAAATATACTTAGATTTCGTGGAGATGTTACAAAATCAGCTAAACATTGGAGAAATCAAAATGACTTAACAATGGCACAAAAAATTAAAGGTTATTTTTCATATTATTAATTAGTAAAAAATGTTCTAACATTTTTTAGAAAACGATATTTATTTTTCTCTTAGTTCGATTATATATTTATAATATATTATAATTATAACTCGTAATAATTTAATTAATTTAACATTTTATAGGCCTTCGAAAAGATTTAGACAATTGTCTATATCACCGATTAGGGAACCATTCAAATTGTGCGGCTTACTTTTGTACTGGGTCAAAATCGAATCTTGCAGTAAATTTAATCCCAGAAGCCGAAAATGGTGGTATATTGAGAGAAATGAAAAATTGCATTTCCAGATTAGTACTAAATGCAGAGAGCCTAATTGAAAATAAAACAAATAATATATGCGAGCAATTCAATGCAATTATAAATAAGCATGTGGCGGGGAAAAGGTTAAACTTTTCAGGTCGTAGAAGTTATAACACGAGAGTTGAAGCAGCGGTGATTTCATTCAATTCTAATCAGTTTTTACGAAAAATGCATAAGAAAATGGCAAATAATAATAGTCCAGGTTGGTTTGTTCACTAGTAGATATATTTGATAAATACATAATGTATTTATACATTTGGCAGACTTGGATAGTATTCCTAATTTTGAACTACTTTTTAGTTTTTACAAATATTTTAAATACAGTATTTTTTGAATAGGTATACCTACTTTTTTAACGTTCAATCATATTTAATAAATTATTTCATTATTTTTCAGTATAAATCGCATTTACGATATATTTGGATTTTGGAATACTTGTTTTGAAGTAGGTATTCCAAATACTATATGTATTAGAAATACTTTTAAACAGTATCTTATCCATGTCTGTGTGTGGTTGCCTACTGTACTTATGCATTTTTTTTTATATTATACTTTAATTCTAATCGTTTGATAACAAAAAATTATAGGCCGTTTCCACTCAGAGTTGTTTTTTTATTGTATACAATGATTTATCGTTGAATTAAAATGTTGCTTTTGATTGCAGCAACATATTCTCAATGATTAATTACGAGATACAGTCGACACCTACTTTGCATCAGAGCGACAGAGCATTTGCCTACTTGCCCACTTTTTTATTATTATAATTTTATAGGTATGTTTGGAAACAAATTTATGAAAAACATTGATCGGATTCGAAAAAACACCAAAAACAAAAGACAATTATTTCCGGATGAGCGGAGGTACCAAAAGCCACGTTCATATGGACCAGATGCCGATTACGGTTTAGCTGAACCTCTCATAGAAATTTTGTCAGCTGAAGAATTGGAAACCAAAAAATTAATGTTTCTTACATCATTGAATGATGTTAATTTTGAACAAGTTGAAATCGATACCCGAGATCAAAGTAACAATGAAAAATGGTTTTATGAAAGAAAAATACGACTTACAGCATCGCGTTTTGGACAAATTTGTAAAATGCGAGCCAACACATCATGCAAAAATACAGTATACAACATACTTTACGCCCCAAGTGCTCAGTCAAAATCGCTAAAATACGGACGAGAAGTAGAAGACATAGCACGTAAAAAGGCGGAATTAATTATAAAAAAAAAAATTGAAATATGTGGTTTGATCATTGATCCTAATGATACGTATTTAGCAGCGAGTCCTGGTAAATCATTTTTTTTATCGCCATGTATTTTGATAAGAAAATAATATACCTTTAAATGTCTTTAAAAATTTTATTTTATTTTTTATAGATGGTTTAATTGAAAACGATGCTGTAGTAGAAATCAAATGCCCATATGTTGCTAAAGATACTACTAGTGCTATAGAAGCGGTCAACAATAATTTTGTAAGTTATTTGTATGTTACAATGAAATATGATGTAATAATAATTACTAATTAGCAATATATATAATATATATGTTATATGCACTTTTAGTTACAATACTGTAGTCTTGTGAATAATAAAATTAAATTAAAAACCGAACATGCATATTACTACCAAATTATGGGGCAATTACATATTAGTCGTCGAAAATTGTGTTATTTTGTTATACACACGAATAATTGGACAAACATCGAAACAATTTTTTATGATTCTACATTTTGGGAATCTAAAATGATTTATAAACTTAAAGCGTAAGTGAAATATAAATATATAATTAATAATTACAATTAAGACTTATATTAAAAATAATACTGTAACATAAAATATTTTTAATGTTATTTGTTTTAGATTTTATTTACAATGTTTACTATCGGAAATAGTACAACCACTTTACCCAACTAGAATGCTAAAAAGTGATATACGAGAACGAGAGAAAGCCAAGTAATATAACTAGTATAGTGTGGTACCTACATATAGTTTTATAAATAAAAATATGAAATATCTAACTTTATTAGTTATTACTTGCATTATAAACTGTATCTAATTATTCTAATTATATTTCCATAACCAATTTATTTCCTTTCAGAAAAATGTTTTTTTATTGTATTGGTATCAATATGCGCATATTAAAGTAAACAAGAGTTTTATTTATTAATTACAAACTAATAAATATATTATTGAATACACGCGTAATTCATAATATCTTTGTTATTACTTATTAGTTATTAGTAAATCGTAGGTTTCAAATGATTGTAAGATAGGTAGAAAAGTAGAACCTTATAAATAATAGATGACTGATGTGTGAAAAGTGTATAATGTTTAGAAATACGCAAAAAATGTAATTTAAAAAATATACCTATGAGGTAGCGGTATAACGTAAAATAATATTAAATTCAATTAATTAACCTACAAAAAATAATATTTAGATATTTAGGTAATATTAGCTTAGAATACAGTTATATATTAGATATTAAATACATTTTTTATGAAGTAAGTATTTAATAATGCAATAAATACAACAATACAAGCCGCGTATAGGTACGCATGAATACTAAAAATATTACGGCGGCATAATATACTATATACGTGTTACGTGTATGCATTTTATATTTACGCGAACCGTCAAAGACGAAGGTTGAGAAAATAATAAACGTCGCTCCCGAATGAGCAAAATCGTCGGCCGGCCGCCGACTGTGAGTAGTGGGCGTGGTTTAAACGCCGCGTGCTTGCGGATCGTGAAAACACCTAACAGCGCGTTCTCTCGGCCGTTGTATACGTTTTGCTTTCGGTGTAGCGTCCTCTTAATGTTAATATGCGACACGTCTGCCGCGCGCACGGGCCGGTACGTATACATATAATATAATATAATGTACCTATCTGCAAAGACGCGTACCTATATGATAATACTACGCCGTTGTACGCGAAACGTGTAAGCTCTCGTTAATTTATCGTCGGCGAACTATCGAGCAATAAAGATTAATCCGACTCGGCCGTTGCGAGCAACGATTGCGTCCAATTAGTGCGTGTATGTATAAATTGCGCGCGCATATACACGGCCACATGGGTATTATATTGTTATGTGAAATCCGTAAATATATATATATATATTATATTGGTGTATTATTACGGCTATAGCCAAGCGTAGGTACACTGGCCCATCCAGCGTGAAACTCGTGCAAAACCATATAATTCGCGGATGCAGTGCGGGCGAATTAATTAACGTATTCATATTCGTACGTTTTCAGCACGCGGATTTTCACTATAGGTACTTAATAACATCAAGCTGAAATCCTGTATGGTTATAGGTTTAAGCTACCAATCATCTGTTATTTTTTCACTTAGTTTGGGACACTTCTTTGTTAGAACACGTCTTAGTTGAACGTATACTCATTAGAACGTTTTTGTTTTTAGTTGGTTGTTTGAGTTATTATGTTGCGTCTGAAGTGTTCTTCAGAGTTATGTAATAATTTGTGTTATTGTAACTTTTAATAACTTAACAACTCTAACTTTAAAGTAGGTAAATTACAAATTATAGTAAATATTTTTATTATAATTTAATACAATACAGATTATGTGTGATAAACGGTACACGGTAAACAACGGAAAGTTCAAAACAATTTGAACCACTTGCTTTATTAGTGTACCAGGTACACTGTACCTATATATATACGAACGCAAAGGAATCCATCAAAACATAGTCCAATATTAATTCTAGTAGATTAATTCCCGTTCTTTGCCGTTTTATGTTCAATTCCGAACTATAAGACGACTTATACTTACATTTTATGAATTTATTTTCAATTAAAAAAATTCATAAGCCAACTGTAATTATTTGTCAGCTTATTAGTTTATTATCTTGTAACAGATACCTGTGATCCATTTTTTTACATTAACTTTGTAATTTTGTAAAAAAAATTCTAAATAAAGTACCGATCACTCCATCCTAATCCAAAATAAAGTATCCGAAATATCTGAGAATTTGGTTGAAGTACTCAGTCTTCCTCCATTCCAACCCAAGAAAATTACTGAGTATGTAGGTAAAAGTTTGTCGGTTATTCTGTCTCAATTTACAGATCTATAGTCATCAATATTTCCTAATTTTGCAAATTTTTATCATCACAAGTTAAGTATTTTTATCATCACAAGTTAAGTATTTTTTTCATTCTTAGTTGGTTCTTTGTCACACATTGTTTTTGCTGTTATCCACTACCAACGTAGTTGGAACATGGTCATGCAATACGGGTTGAAATTTGTTCTACGTTCGTATCGGGAGGCTCGTTTGCTCATTTATTTTCCAAAACAGTAGATACTCAGAAAATGTTGGTACAGAATTACGAGATACGAACATATACGGTAACGAACGGGTAGGCCTTTTCTTGTATCATGTTCGGGCTTAGTAATTTTTCATAAGTAGGTACTCGACTAACATGGTTACACCCGTGTCACTGTGTCAGTTATACACTGGTGCAGTATATTAGGCACTGTAGATAGTTTTATATAAAGGTTGTTATTGTGTCAATACATATAGCGTAGTTAGTACTGTGCTTACTAGTTTCTAGGTCTGTATAAATTACAAATATTTTTCTATACTTATTTAAAGAAACCATGCTATCAAGTAAAGCATAGTTTTTGTTAATATAACTTTCTATATTTTCCGCATCATATACCATATATTATTGGCAGCTAATCAAAGCCCAAACGTTTTATATCAATTTTATCATGGCCAACCATCCACAAATATCACATCGAACATACCGACAAACAACCAAATACAACTAACAAGCCGTACCAAGTCCAAGTAGTACCAATGTTATTATTTTCATTTATTTTTAATTTATAAATTGTTATTTATTGTTAGACGGCCGCTACACCCACCCGTTGTCTTCGTTTTACAATTTACAATTGAGTTCCATGACAAATTTAAGTTCCAAAAATACAATAGTTTAGCGTGAATTTAAGTAATATATCGAAAAAATTTATGTCTAAATGGCTAGTGTACAAAACAAAATTTTAAAAATGCTCGTAACTAAATTAAAATACCTAGAAAACACTTTCAACATAACACAGACAATATTGTTGAATTTAAGTTTAATTAATTACATTAAATTCACTCTAATATACACACTAACGAAGCTAAGCATAACATTTCATGTCTTAAATAGTTTAAATTTCTCGTATAATATTTTCTAGTGAATATAGGTAGTAGATTACTCCCGTTATGATTTATGGTGTGGATAACGTTGAAATGTTAGTATACCCTAAAGCCTGTACGGGCCAACCAACTGTTGGTTACAATATTCCCACTGGGTTGTACTATAGTATGGGCTATGATGTCAGGATGAAAGTGGTCGCAGTAGTGCGCAAATGTAAAAATCTCGAGAGGGCTTCTTAAACCCACCAAAGGCACTGCAGGTTATTCATATAAAATTTCAATCATATCTCAGTATCTGTGAGCACCGGTGTCCGTGAGACTTCCGTATTTGGATTTTCCATAACCTTGTGGTGATAATGTATTATAGACCGGGAAGAGCCAGGCATACGGTGGAAGCGGCTAAATCTAGGTCTGCTGCGGATAATCGTTAATTATACTACATTTATTAAATCCTATACACTTACTCAGGGTTTAGCATTAGGTTTATATATTATTATTTTAATTTTAATATTGTGTACACGCTACTGCGTATAAGGTATAACACATAGATTACAATAGAGATTGCTATATATGCGGCGAACACCAGGCCGTTAAAAGCGGATTTATTATCGCCACAAAGACGGTGAAAAATTATGGTTATAAATAATTATTTTTCGTCAGATGGGCGTATATTTGCGCACTTTCGCCACCGGATCAACTCCATTTTAGGATATCTATACACTATACAGCGTTGGCAGCAACGGATTTCTGTTTCTGATACGCGCAGTAGATATATAAAAGTATAACGTGAAAGAAAACATTTTTTTTTTTTATTATTTTAAACGTGTTTTATCACTTGATTTTCCTCTTATTTAGGAAAACAGTTTTATGATATTTTTTAGTAATTAAATGTTTTTAACGCACTGACTTACTTATACATATTATATAATATATAAATTTAGCTAACAATACACCACTGGCACTCATTGTTATTAATCTCTATTAGTCCCCCCAGACACCTTATTCTCACGATTTTCAGGCGCCACAGGCACTGCCGCCGCCGTCGATTTTCCCATCGTTTTGCGAAGAACCATAAATCTCGAGCCAAGAAATCAATTTAACTGGCGATCACGGTGGGCCCTTTGGCGATGATCTGTAAAATAATAACAAAACGCATTTCGGCGTACGCACGCCCCAGCGGAGCAGAGTCGCAAGATGGATTCGCGACGTCTCTTGAAAATGAAAAAAAAAACGAGCTCCCATTTATAGGTATACCTATATACATATATTATTATAATAAACGAATTAATAATTTTCAACAACACAATTTATTTAAAAGCCCATAATTCCTACGACGTCATGCGTACATAATATAATAACCTCTTATATTATAACTGTATAAAGTATATAGAGAAAAAAACTCCCATCTGTCTCTCTCCTTTTCTCACTTTTTGTCTCTTGTCCTTTCTTTTTGTCTCTCTTTCTTTCGCCATCGATCTGCATAGACTTCGTTTATTTATATTTAAGTATAACGCAATACACATTTATAATATTTATCATACATACTGTATCGTGTGCTGTACGTTGTCCGTAAATATTACTCGTCCTTACGATATTATTATTATTTTCAGTTCGCATAATTGTATACCTATATACTTTAATGGCGTTTTTTATTTATTAAAGATTACAGTAATTACAACATCTTCGCGAGTATAAATAATAATAATAACGTGTAATGATCAGATCATAGCGAAATAGTTTAATAAGCAACTACATTGTTGTTTTGATTTATTAAAATGTCATCTACACGTAAAAATAATATTATGTTTACTCTTTTTCTCAATTTTTTTTTATTTATTGTTTATATATTGAACTACTTA